CAAAACAATAAGTCGAATGTCTTTGTGTGTATGGTACCTTAATAGGCCTAATGTATCCTACACTCTAAACTATGTACTAAAGTGACTTCTTCCCACATAGGAGATAACATATTATACTAACACCATGCATTTACCAATTAGAAGTATGTACTTACATCATGTAGACTTACAAAACATAATTTGATAAATCTTCTATATATTCTTTACAACATCATCTGTTAAAACTTATAATGGTAAAACCTACCACTTAGGTTCACGAGATGACCTGATAGGTTTCCAACATAACATGCCTGAAACATATCCTTTTGCTAATATGCCATAGTCTGCTAGGCCTCATATCTTGGTACATGAGCAAGATGCTAGGCTTACAATCTTGGTACATATTACGAAATGCCTAGGAAAGATTCCTATCTTGGTACATTCCTAAGAAATCTTCTCTCTTGGTACAGGAGATACCTGGGTAAGCTTCTATCTTGGTACAGGGCACACCTAGTCTACCATATTCTGTCAGGCCACCTTGCTTGGTACACGACCTACCCAGGTAGCTTGTCTTGTACCCTCGCAGATGCGGGCGTACCTTCCCCAGGACCTCGTCTCCTCACAAGCTTTAGCACTTGTCTACTCCGAGGACATGCTCACGTCGGAGGATGTAAATTTCACAGCAGTGTTTAGGATACAGGGTTCTCACGATCGCGTGCTGTTGGGGAGTTAAATAAAAACGGAAGAGAAGCTTCCACGAGTGTGAAAGATTTGCTTGGCTTTACACATTTCATTGCTCTTCCTATGTAAGACTTTTGTTCAAAACTGTCTTGGCCAGAGAATACAACATTGGGAAATATATGTTGTATTTTTGTTGCTTTCAGGCTTGCAAATAGTACATACTATACAGACAAATACTTTGTGAAGTGCAATTTAAGCTTTTAACATTCAATATTTTCCATTTCAATGTGTTTCTCGGCTTGATAGACAATGGCTCTCGTAGTTCTTTAATTTACCTCATGTTTCAGACACAATATAAAAAGAATGTAAATCAACATTAATAATTAATTAAACTTGACACTCTCTAGCTATGAAAATTTTAGGTAAAACCCTTACTCGGTCGGGTAAAATTAGACAGTCCTCCCCTTCCAACTCTATAGGGCTCTAGAGGAGTATTTTATCTATACTGTACCCTGTACCTGTTTTAATACTGTATAAATACCCCCGCCGCAGCAAACCTGCAGACTAAGCGAATTTCAACTTGCCTGATTACATTTTTACTCAAATATTTAAAATAATTAAGCCATATTTATTCATAATATAAATAACTTTAGATTCAATGAGTGCTTAGGGTTGCTGCTACGGGGAAGGTAAAAAGTGTTTTTTGACCATACGTCAATAGTATAAGATGACATAAATAAATTTGCCAAATTTTATCAATATACATCCATAAACAAGTAAACTACAACAGTTTTCATTTTCTCCATAAGAATAACATAGGAATTTTTAATTACACTATTTTTGAATTTTCTCCGTTACCGTTAGGCACAAAACAGCGCTTCAATATACTAAATTATTTATTTTTTTAAGCTCTACAAAACAGTTTGAAAAGAAATTGCGAAATTTTTTGTTTTTAGGGTCAAAAATGGGAAAACCCCATTTTTACCCCATAAAACCCCCCATAAACCCCCGTTCCCATGGTCCGATTATGCTGGTTCGCGAACTCGTTCAAATAAACGTAGGTTTACACGTTTGTACCAAATTTCATCAAAATCGGATCATTTTTGCTCGAGTTATCGCGCTAACGGACACATATATATATATAAATATACTAGCAGTCATACCCGTCCTTCGTACGGGGTTGGCATATAAGTATAAAATGATTATTCCAGTTATATTCAAGCTTTGCGTTTGCAATGGGGGAGGACACAGTTTGATACATTTGTTTCTTTAAATTTACAGTATACTATAGTATGGCACATCTACAATAGTCATAATGTTCTACCACTTCACCTAAACAATAGATAAAAACAAATTATAAAAAAATTTGCTAAATATCACAAAATTATTTATGAAATAAAAAATAAATATAACTGTAAACAATCCTACTTTGACAGTTCTCATTGCTTATCACAGTTTTTTGCTGCTGCTTAGTTCAAATTAGCTGTTTTCATAAATGCAAAAAAATAATAGTGCTGCAACCTGTTGGTAAATCTTATAACTTTTTAATGCTTTTGTTTATCATAGAACCAACTTTTTCAGTTGAAACAGCTGACTAAATACTTTAATTCCCTTTAAATATGAATACTCATAAGGTTAACATGGGGAACTACAGAGCCACTGGGGCGGAGCCCGAAAGGATTTTTGAGATAAGAATATGCCTATATGTTAATCAGGAATGTGAGCTATCATCATGCCAAATTTCAGCCCAATCCGTCCAGTAGTTAATGCGTGATTGAACTTCAAACAAACAAACAAACAAACAAACACACAAACTTTCACATTTATAATATTAGTAAGATATATATATATAAATATATATATATATATAAATATATATATAAATATATATATATATAAATATATATATATATATATATGTATAAATATATATATATATATATATATATATATATATATATATATATATATATATATATATATATTAATTTGAACGGATGGTGTTTTTGGCCTCTAGGGACCTCAAAACGAAAAATTAAATCGGTCCCGGGTCCAGGTCTTACCATGAGTACTACGGTAATAGCTTATTCCCTATATGGGAAATTCGCTAATATAAAAACTAAAACCCTAACCAAGTGAATAAAAAGTTCACTAAACGTTCCGCCAAAGAATAACTTAATACGCTCGACCTGTGACTTTGATTAATTACATGTACCCATGTACCATGTACATCCAATGAATAAAGATAAACACTGTGCAACAAGAAATCACATAAAATTTGTGTTTAAGTTTGCATTAAGTAAGCAGTAATTTATTACCCATGAAGAAATTTAATGAATCTCACGCAACAACACAAATAAACATGTGTTTTTAACAACTCATATTCGAACCACGATACAAGATCGAATCCATATTGGAACTACTTTTCCATATCGAGTATATTCCTTGTGTGTTCGAGATTGAAAAAAATCACTTCCAGTGTCGCAGTTCTCGGTATCGTTGACAGATAATCAAAATGCAGTTTGAGACTAAAATATCCTTAGAAGGCAGTAGTCAAAGGGTCCGGTCGTTCGTGTCATTTGTACTGATTATTTATTCAATTGTTTCCATTCGACTCACGTCAAGCCAGGCTGGGACTGGGTCTGAGCTCTTCAAGTTACAAAGGAAGGTACGTAACTCCGGTCTAGTTTTAGAACAGTTTCTATATTTGCGACTTGAGTGTGAGTCATCCTGCACTAGTTTTGTTCGACAAACGATAAAAATACTTATTTGATTTATACTTAGTGTGCCATTTACTCATATGCATAATTTATATTTGTAATGTGATCACTATTGCTTTCCTTAGAGGAGTTCTCCAGCATAAAGAAAGTTCTCCTCCCCTGAAAACATATTTTAAAACTGTTCTGAATGTTTGTAAGAACAGCGGTATTCACACTGAAAAAATATTTTTGTTGAAATAGCCTACACAATAAAAATGGCTTAACTATTTTTTATAGTGTGTAGTAGGCTAACAAAAAATACAAAAATATGAAACGGCAAAAAAGTTGTCACCTACAGGCTACAGCAAATAAAAACTGATTTTTCACGTTTTTTAGACCATATTTCAATGTCATATATCTAAGAAACTATGCAAGATATTGCAATGCTCATGGTCTAACTTTGAAGATAATGATCTAATCTAAATATTTAGGTAGATTTATCATGGTAGCATTAGAGGTTTATAAAAAATCGTAGAGTAAACTTAAGACTTTTTTCAAGAAGACATCCATATATATAAAATTATGTTTCCAAGCAACATATTTACGTAAAAGTCTAATTCTACCTAAATATTTAATAAAAGATGTACTAAATAATATGGTGAAAATATGAACCCTCTATCTCAATTGGTTCTCAAGATATTTGTCGATTTTTGTCAGAAAATTTGTTGAAATTCAAAGTTTCGGAAAACCACGTTTGAAAGTAAAAATGTGAAATTTCGGACATTGACGTGTATGCAAAAAATGTTATTTTTTCATACTTAGGTTAAGATATAGGTCTTAGGGTACTATATATTTTCGTTCAGTAGGTTGTAAATGACGAAATCAGGCAAAAAGACTATTTTGAAAATTTCATGATTTTTCACTATTTTCAGTGATGAATCCCCTTACTAATCATATACTGTATAATCTAATGTGTATTAAAACCCCCGAGTTACAGCATTGCTAGATGCATTGTAGAGTAGGTAAACTCAATTGGTGATTGGCATGATTGGAACTCGGACCTACTGGATATAAATCCTCTGTTTAAACCAATAAACAACCCGTGAACCTGTTTTCCCCCAATATTCTACCTAATACATTGATTTTTGTTCGTGTATTGGTAATACGATGTAAAATCTTGATACTGTTTATAAATATTGTTCGCTGTACAGTAAACACTGCCTAATTTCAATATCAATGTTATGTAGGAGTCGAAAAATGATTATATTCCAATACTTTCTATTGGCTAAATAGCCTAAGTGTTTATGCGATAAAAAGTTTGTATTTTACATTAAAAAATACAAAGTTTATATTTGTGCTTTTTATTTTTCAGCTTGAATAAAGAAATTAAAATAGTACCATAATGTCATTTAGATTTGCAGTAGAGATTCTCAAGCGTTTTTACTTTTGACGTTTACCTATTATAATAGCCAATTTCCAAGCTATCTATTTTTAATACCTACCTCTCACACCACACAGGACAGATAATATCTTGAAGATAATGAACGTATTGTAATCAAAATATGAATACAAAATAATTGTCATACAAATAAACACACAAAATGTATTGGTAGTCTATAATTAATAATTTAAAATTTCCTGTTAAAAAGTTTTAATCAATCTGGCGCGATCTCTAACAGACAAATATGTTAGAGACAAAGCATCAGTCTCTCCTATGTTGGCGACGTTGATTTTCTTCACACAAGTGATGTATTGCAGGACAGACCACGCACTACATACAACATGTTTCATGGGATTTACCTTCATTTCATCGTATGCTTCAGAAGACCGCACGTATCCGCTGTAGTTCTCAACAATACACCGCTCAGCTTCTTCTATCTCTGTGCTGTTCTTTAGAAATCTCTGCAGTAGCAAACGGAGCTCGTTTTTACTCAGTCCGTAGTACTTCAACAGTCCGGGATAGTTGTCCAAAGCAGACTTGACCCTCGGCGAGTATGGAAGCCCCCCACGAAGTAAAGACCCTGTAATTATAACTCGGCTAACGTATTTCGATTCTATAATTCGATTATACATATCGATTGTAAAATTGTAAACTGAATCTCGGCAGTCTTCGGACACTGGTGCGTCTATAATAATGTCATAGTCGTCCACCAACACAACTAAGGGTGTTTTAAAATAGTTGTGCAATATTTCCGCTAATAATGTAAACCCCTTTTCAACATCTTCTTGCTTCATGTTTTCCAGTGAAGTTTCATTGAAATACTTTTCAAAATCATCTTTACAAATGTTTGTAGCTTTCCAAATTTCGTGGTTTTGTAATAAATATTTGTGTTGTAAAAATGTTTCGAGTAAAACTATTTTATACTTTTTAAGGAGAAAGTTAAATTTCGTAACTGTTTCTAAAGGCTTGTAAGAAATGAAAATGACTGGGTACTTTGCAAAATGTTCATCGAATAAATGTTTATATTGAAATATTTGCAATTTATTGGTTGAAAATGTTTCGTAATTAACTGAACTTTTACTACTCACTCTTCTTCCTTTTTCATCTACGTTGATTTCTAAAAACCGTCTAATCATGTCTAAGTTAGTAGATTTACCAAAGTGGGGGGCTGCAGAAATCTCTAGAAATGTTGACACTTTACTGTCCAAAAGTTCTTTTATCAATAGCGACTTATCGATGAAGAAATCACTTTTGGTCACCTCGGTAAAGTTACTAGAATCTGATGTGTAGAACTGAGCGACGCCACTTACAATAGTAGGCTCAGATGTGAGTTCATAAACAAAGTTCTGTGCGAAAAGTTCCTCTATTTCATCACAATTCGTAAACGTTACACTCACCACAAAAACTAAAACTTTTATCATAATGTGGTCTTCAGCTGGTTTTATTTTACAAGATTACTTTTGACGCGTGTAAAAAAGCACAAATATGAAATTGCAGTACCTCCACTAAACGTGTCTTGTAGTAATGTATCTGAAGAAACAAACACTAATTTGTGTTGTAACATCTCAACGCCGACTGAACTCTCCAAGATGAGATAAGATCAAATTTGTGATATGTGTAGTTTTACTGTGTGATTATGATTCATTACAATACGTCAATCAAATGACAATTAAATGGCGGAATGAACACATCACAATCAAAATAACACACGATATTTGTTTATAAATATTGTATATTGGTAGTGATCAATTATTGCAATTAGAAGTCCCATGCATAGAAGAAGTGTAATTTTAAATAATATCGTTGGGATTGTTAATTTTATATAGTATTTATCGAGTTTTAAGGATTATATTTAACTATTAACATTAGGTACCACATTTTCATTTTAAAATCTTTATTAAAACACAATTTCCTTGTCATATAATTTCGATGCACAGAAATTTAATTTCATTTACAGTTACACATTATTGCACTTGCGATTTATAAAATCCGTTATGTAAGGCACAACGTTTTTAATTTCTTTTGGTTTTGGATTTTCTTACAAAACGTGATTGGAAATGGTTGCAGTATTTGTAAACAATATTTAATGTAAACATATCCAGTGACAGCTAGAAAAAATAATCTTTATCCAAACAGCTGTTCGTACTTCATAGATGTCGTATTCTCCAAACAGATGAGTATTTCAAAATATGACGTATTATATTGTAAGCGTTAAGAGAAAACTTGACAAAAATTGCACAAAATTGGGGGTTTGAACGTCCGTTATTATATTTCAACAGTAGTGAGGTAATATTTTAATGGCTAAGGACACTCTCGCCAATCCAGTGAATACAAAAAGGCTATTTGAATCCCGATCGATGCTCTTTTTTTCAGGAGAAGGCCGCGTAAAATGCCTTCTGGGCCGTGACAGACAGAAATTGAGATAAGACTAGTTTCGGCTTGTATAAAACTATTGACTAAACGTAAAAATAACAATATATATATATAATTCTGAGCAATGAGCAGACTGAATTCTAATTTTCTTTATATACATTGTTGGGGTTATTAATTTTATGTAGTATTTATCGTGTCTTAGGGATTATATTTAACTATTAACATTGGGTACCACATTTTCAGTGTAAAATCTTTACTAAAATACAATTTACTTGACATATAATTTCCTAAGTTCCAGATTTAAGCACCGCCAAACCTGACAACGCCCAGACTAACAAGACACTCTAAGGGAAGTTCAGATAGATTTCTTCCGGCGAAACCAGTTGGCAGATTTTATATTTCATCAGCCGACAAGAAGGATAATACGCTGTAGACTGAAAACCCAGCACCACCAGCGACAGCAGAAGTCAACACAAATTAAATTTTCAAATAAAAATAAACAAGGGAAAATAAAAGATTAGATGCGGCTTGCCAGTAGAGACTAGGGAGATAACATCGGGACATAAATTTGCAAACCAACTCCTATTAAGTTGGCCGCCTAACACAGCCCGGCTCTCAGTGGTGATGGCTTATTTGTTAACAAACAGTAATGAAGGCATTCCATCGGACAGACCATGTTTTCGGGACAGTGATAAATAAATGATATTCCCTAAATCGAACCACTTTGGTGTTCAGCGAATTCGTGGGAATGTGAAAAAAAGTTATAATACTATGGATCGAAGTATAATCATTAAAATGCAAACGCGAGTAAAAATTATGTATTCTAAAACTGTAATCTTATGGAACTACTTATGGAAATAAGTAAACACGCACTACAAAAATAATAAAGTTTGCTGAAACCACGACTGATGATTTAGAGGCAGAGATGGGTCATATATTTAACAGTTCAGAAACATAACAATTCACCAGCATTTATAAAGCTCGGGAGTACAAGAGTTATCTATTATGGGACATTGCAGATAGATGCTAGCACACAGTTTAAAACTGAACTAAGAAGCCAAAGAGCTCTCTTTGAAATCCAAAGGTCGGTCCTGTGATAATGTTTGAACTTCTTCTAGATAGTACAAAGCTCGACCAAGCTCCTCATATCAACAAGATTTTTGATGAGTTATCTTAAAAGAATATTAGGAATCTTATGTTTCACCATACACTCACCATTAAATCATTTTAAATTAAAACAAGCTCTATTGGGCATGGTTATAAATTCATCAATCAATTATTGGAGGTTTAACTTTGCTACTCTGCTCTCCTATTTGACCTGCCACTCTGCAGATTGAGAGGCAGGTGATCGTGATCGGAGATGCTCTCATTTGACTTACATCTCTGCAGTTTGAGAGTACTTAATTGCTCGTCATCGGAGATGCTCTAATTTGACCTGCAACTCTGCAGTCTGAGAGTGCAACTGCTCATGATTGGAGATGCTCTAATTTGACCTGCAACTCTGCAGTTTAAGAACAAGTGCTCGTGATCGAAGATGCTCCCATTTGACTTGCATCTCTGCAGTTTGAGAGTACTTAATTGCTCGTCATCGGAGATGCTCTAATTTGACCTGCAACTCTGCAGTCTGAGAGTGCAAGTGCTCGTGATCAGAGATGCTCCCATTTGACTTGCATCTCTGCAGTCTGAGAGTGCAAGTGCTCGTGATCAGAGATGCTCCCATTTGACTTGCATCTCTGCAGTCTGAGAGTACAACTGCTCATGATTGGAGATGATCTAATTTGACCTGCAACTCTGTAGATTAAGAACAAGTGCTCGTCATCGGAGATGCTCCCACTTGACCTGCAAATCTGCAGTCTGAGTGTACAAGTGCTTGTGATCGGAGATGCTCCTATTGACCTGCAACTCTGCAGTTTGAGATTACAAATAATCCTCGTGATCGGAGATGCTCATATTTGACCTGCAATTCTGCAGTCTGAGAGTGCAAGTGCTCGTGATTGGAGATGCTCCCATTTGACCCGCAACTCTGCAGTTTGAGATTACAAATAATGCTCATGATTGGAGATGCTCTAATTTGACCTGCAACTCTGCAGATTAAGAACAAGTGCTCGTGATCGGAGATGCTCCCACTTGACCTGCAAATCTGCAGTCTGAGTGTACAAGTGCTTGTGATCGGAGATGCTCCTATTGACCTGCAACTCTGCAGTCTGAGATTACAAATAATGCTCGTGATCGGAGATGCTCCCACTTGACCTGCAAATCTGCAGTCTGAGTGTACAAGTGCTTGTGATCTGAGATGCTCCTATTGACCTGCAACTCTGCAGTTTGAGAGTGTAAGTGCTCGTGATCGGAGATGCTCCCATTTGACCCGCAACTCTGCAGTCTGAGAGTGCAAGTGCTCGTGATCGGAGATGCTCCCATTTGACCCGCAACTCTGCAGTGCGACGGCGGTGGCGGCCAAGGTCTGGCGGCGCACCTGTCGCGGTGTTTGCCCTCTCTCCCTCTCCCACCCCTCTCACTCTCTCCGTTACTGACTTCAGTTCACGTTCACAGTTCAGTGTCAGTAGTGCGTCTAGCAGGTAGTGCCGTGCGTTCGCGCCTCTTTTCTTATTGTGTATAACCTCTTCTCCCATATTTTGGATTACATTTAGTCGCATCCTTAATTTTTGGTAAGTGGACTTTTGCACTGACATTAGTTATGCCATTGCGCTTAAATTTTTATTTCTTTGCTGAATATATACAGGTATTTTTGTCGTGTATTTGATATCTTTTCGTTAGAGGAGTGGCGTCCTCTAACCGGTTGTGATGTGTTTTTATTTGAAGAGGTAGAGGAAAGTTTTATTTTGTAGGCCTATTATTTATTTTGGTTATTTATCGATTACTTTTGTACACGATAATAGGTACTTTATGATTCGAAGAATTGGAATACAGTACTACTGTTCATTATAATATTTAATTTTATTATTTATATGTGTACGGGTTTGTAAATTAAGCACTGCATTCTTATATGATTAACCTACATTTGTTATCTTTCAACTCGCCCTCTCTTGTTTCCATCTATTCTTGTTCTACTATTATAACATATTGTTATAATTGTTGCGGGAATTGATAAACGTCACGAATTAGCCGGCGAGGAAGCTAACAATTATTTACGCGGAGTATGTATGGTAATTAAAAAAATACTTATTTTAAAACTATTTAACTGTGTTAAGTTACTGTGATAAGTTATGTGCTTTGTACGATTCTAATCTGCTCCAGATTCTAACCTCAGTACTAAAAGATAATACGTATTAATGCAACAAGTGAGATTAGTTCTCACAATTATATTGTAGCCTGTGTTTACAGTCACTCATCGATGTCTTTAGTTTATCCATCGTCGTAATTTATGTTTTTTATTAATACACTATTGACCAAGAGGTCTAACCTAACCTAACCTAACCCGACTCAATTATGTTAGAGCCTGTTTTACTTCTAATAGGTATCTGTAATTTTGTTATACTTGATTGCTCCTCAGACATAGTTAGGAACTTAATTTTGAAACTATTATATTATGAAACTATAATATGAATGAAATGAATGAATGAATGAATGAAATGAAAACAGTGCTTTATTTTTGGTTGGCATAATTTTTTTGTGTACAGTACACTTTTAATTTAAAACTATAAATTCAATTCTGGACTAAAATCAAAAGTAAAAAGTCTGAAATCAACATTTTTAATTAAAGCAAATTAAACTAAAGAAATAAAATAGCTGGCTCACAGCCCAATATATGTTTTAGATACATATATACTCATATACACATACATGTACATACATACATATATATATACACACACACACATATAGGCTACACACACACACACATAAACATACAAATATAAAAAACAAATACCCCCACCAAAAAAAATCTTGTCAAAGTCAGTGAATTTTTCCTTGAATCTAATTCAGGAGATGAATATTTCAAATAATTTTTGTAAGTTAAATTCGATTATCAATCCCCACCTAAAATGCCAAGCTTCTTTTAAATACCCACCCAACGCGCGCCAATCCCTCCCATTCATAAAACTAAAATAATCTTCCCACTCCAATACGTGTTTAGAAAAATGCTTCTTTCTTATATTATGAAAACTGGCAAATTACAACACCGAACAATGTATCTTTAATCCTCTTGCTTATTAAAAAAATCGTTCGCGTTCTCTTTTTGTGTATGCGTAGGCCTACATCATAGAAACAACGAAGGGTCAGCCAACAATGCTACTCCACTTGCTAGACATTTTACCATGCAACCATGTAGCCTATCTACACGCTAGGCATGTGCCAAGCGACAGTGTACCTTGTCAACACCTGCTGAATACGACCGTGTATGTCATAGTCGCTTGACATATCGCGTGGCTCTTTGCCTGTTGAGTAACAAAGCGTTCAACTCGGTTCGTTAAACTCTGACTAGTTGCTTGAAAAAAGCATCTTGCTAAGCTGTTTGTGTAAGTTTTGTATAAGCGTGCTTAAATAAGCCTTTGAACTTACACTAGTCTAAGTGACATATAGGTGGAAACCACATTGGCGTTATCTACAATATATTGTAAATACTATGTCGCCTGAAGCGGCTTAGTTTGCTCGAAAACAGAAAACAGCTTCATTACAAAATTAGCGATAAATCCCTAATTGCATGTGAGTCAAGATATTATTATGTACTGTTCCTTCTGTATTATTACTGTTTTAAATTATGTTTTATTACTTTGGCCTCTAGGCCTAAAGATGCTTATGAGTTGTGTCTCTCCAGTAATATAGGAAAGTATCACATAGTCACTCAATTCGTTCAAGAGTGAGAACTAATCTCTCATTTAATTTATGTCTCTAAAATCGAAGTAAAAATAAATAAAATAAGCGATTTTAGGTTGCCACGCTTCACTAGGCCAGGTCATATTGCCAACCCCTTAAGTTTTGAAGCAAAAAACTCCTTTTTAAAATCAACCCTAGAGGAATAACATTCAATCGAACAATCCGTCTGTATCACTTTTGTTACATGTTAAAAGGCTAATTTCTTCACATAATTTTTGTTCCAAGGATCAGCAGGTAGATTTCGGGGCCGGCCGAAACATTGCTTTTGTTCCGCGGACATCTCTCTTGTTCCGCGAGAGAGGGGGTTAGACTCTCCATCCCCCAACTCCTCTCTTTCGCCCTCCTCCTAATTATTTCTTTCATGCGGGCTTTAAAACATTGATTTTCACCTGACAAAAATATCTGTAATTTAAATAACTTAACCTAACCCAACTTAACCTATGAAAGAAAGAATTAGGAGGAGAGAAAATAGAGGATTTGGGGAGGGAGAGTGCAGCCCCCTCTCTGGCGGAACAAGAGAGATGTCCGCGGAACAAAAGTGATGTTTCGGCCGATCCCGAAATCTACCTGCTGACCCCCGGAACAAAAGTGATGTGAAGAAATTAGCCTTCAACCGCGGAACAAAAGCAACACATGCTGCAATCCACCTAATTGTAACCGGACATAAGTCATATAAACAGGTTTAGTACGCAAGTCGATGTACCGTACCCGAGTTCGAGGAGCCCATATAGTTGGTACCGTAAACAATAGCCCATAGCTATGAGTACAGAGCTCAGTCGCTCAGTGTCTTTGTCTAACGGGTCTACACATTAGCCTAGATATGCGACAGGGACAAACCGTGGGCAGAGGGTAGACAAATACCTGCATATATGAAACATACAGCATTACGGCCGCGGTGAACGCACTTCACTTCATTCTGCATGTTATGGTTACGGGCTTTTGATACGAGTCATACGTTCTGTGTACTCGGGGACATTCTGGAGTACATTTGAATATCGGTGAGTGATTTGCAGTTGACAATATCAGTGAGAGAAATATATAATTTTCCTCGGAAGCAAAGCCAAAGTAAAATCTGTACAAATGATTTGTATCTTGGTAGGAATAGTAAAAAAAAATAAAATAAACAAATCCAAATTGTATATTTTATGATTTAATTGAAAAAAAAATTGAAATTTCGAGAAATAACTCGTTAGCAGTATACATTAACAATTACAGTAATTTCGATTGTACACTATTACTTCAGCATTTACAGTGGAGTTAGAAATAATTTATTTATTTTCTTTTATTCAAAACAATTGCATAAATTATACATTTAACAGCTCTCCGCATCACTGCATGTCTAGTTTTAACAGAACGCTCTTCATCAGCCGTTGTATATCAGTCATAGTCTTTGAGTGTAAACTTTGTATGTGTAACACAAAGTACATCTTCATCGTGAAGATATATGTCTATCCTTAAAATATATGAAGAAGGAACATTATTAAAACGCCTAACTTATTTTAAAACCTGAATGCAGATTTTGATCAATCGCTTTTAATTAGTGTAGAAGTATTAATACAGTATCAGCTATTTTTCAAAATTTTTAAAAGAATTCTTCTGTTTTTTCGACGGAGATTAAATTTTGCATTACACATTAACATAGTGGAAAAAGAAAAAATAGCTGAAAGTACAACATAAACAACCAAGTCCATCATAAATCCAAGGATACACATACAGTATACTGAAATGCAATTTATTCAACAAAAGAAATTAATTATCTAGCTTGCTGTACCTACAAAACCTCTTTATGTCTTACAAATACTAAAGTACTTGCGTGATCGGCGCGACAGACGTGTAAATAAGCTTTAAGATACGATCTCGATACAAAACACGTCCAGAATAAAGAGAGGAGTGACGCCGCCTGCTTCTCCCATTGTGTGGTCGTAATTGGCTCGAATTCGAGCATTCGATGGTGCATTGTCTGCTCGACATTGAAATGTCAGTCTGCGGTGACGCCACGGTCAAGGTTGCTGATAGCTGACTTGTACAACTACCTTTCGATTGTGGGTCGAAATCGAGCGATCAATTTCGGCCGATAAGGAGCTTATAAATGTCAGCTTCGCTAAACCCGATGTCAGGGTCAATCTTGCAGAATTTTGCTGACTTGAGTGGCTGCCCCAATGTTGCAATGTAGAGTTTGATTATTCGACTGTGAACTGACTTGAGCATTAAAATGCCAACAACAATCACCAATGTCACAAAATGTTAGTTGTTGGATGATGATCAAAGTTGTTAAATTCTTATTGTGATCAAAATTGAACCCTCTCCACTCACTGTACTGACATCTTAAGTGAAAGCTCGATTCCTCAGCAGAGTTTCTGTGAACTCTTTAGGATTTTAATGTGATAACTTTGAATCCGATGTTGTCATCTGTAGTTAATATGCAGTGAAAGCTCCTTTGCCGCCAGTTTGTCTCTCCTTTGTAGGTTATATTTGGCTCGGATTTCAACTGCTGTCAATTATCTTCTGCAGTACAATGTCTGCGTGCTGACGCCAGGGTCAAGGCTACTGACTGCTGACTTAGGCCGGTTTTATGCACCGCGACAGTCGCGAGTCGCGAATCGCGCCACGTCTTGCGGCTGACAAAAATGTCACGCGACAGCGACACTTTTTTGTCGCGTAAACTCACATCCGGTGGTGGGGGAATTAAAGAAATCAGTCTGTTCTCAATCCAATGTTGTGTGTTGTGTTTTGATGTAGAAGTGATTATTAAGTTGTTTAAATATAGACCCTGTAGTGTTGTACACGTTAATGACAAAACCCCAGTTATTTAAACAACACATACAATTTA